AATTCACCTCAAGCATTGATAGGACACTTCCTAAGTCTGCATAGTATTATGAAAAGCCCAATTATCTTTGTACAGACAGACTCTGTGTAGATCTCAGTTCCGTGTCAACTTAGTTTACCTGTTTACTGGATTGTTGTCTTGGGGCCTGAGATTATAACCGAATTAGAGACAGATTGAGATTGAAAGTGTGGGCAGTGCTTGCGGGCAGTGCTTTGAGGACTTAACCTTGCTGTGTGGTGCCCCCCCCCCCCCCCTCCATGCAATCCTTGCCCCAGGCCAACCTGACCGCTGTCCTGCACTGCCCCCGCTACTAGTCAATCTTCCTCAGTGCTGGCTTGTAGCACATTGCACACTAGCTCATTGTCATTCACCTTCAATGTGTTAAACCTTTTGTTTCTTGGACAATTATATACCCTCTAAAGACCTGCCTCATGAATAAAAGATTTGGTTGATGGAGAAAGCTTTGACTCCTGAGGTAAGAGGCAGTTTTCACAGGAATACTTATTAGCAGTTATTATTTGCGTTAGAGATTTGTGAGCTAGGGCTCCCAGCAGCTCTTGATGTTTGTCAAGATTTGTAAAGTTAAAGTGATATGGCAAATTGCTGTGTTCTGGTCAACTTCTGCATGTGTGTAACATCATCTAAATTTGTCAAGATTTGTAACAGCAGTGATTAATGAAGTGTGAAACAGTTGGCAACAAACAATCTTATTTTATTAACAGAGGCCGTTAAAAAACTTAAATCAATTATGTTTTATGATTAATTTGATGATTTGTCAATCAAGAATGCAGGTCAGGTTGTTAGGCCTATAAATAGTTAGTATCTAATTTGATAGGTTAATGTCAACTGCTTGCCTTGGGGCTCGCTGATGAAGTTTGGGCTTCAGGTCTCACAATTGCCACCATTTCAAGTGTCCAGGCTACTTTGCCACCCCTCACTGCTATTGTGTCTATTTTAATCTCGGGGCAGTTAAAATACTTGAAAATCCTCATCCTCCTTCTCACACTCTTGTTTCTCATAATTAAAGAAGCGGGAGACTTCTTTACCTCTTGCTTTAACATCTGGCCGTGTTTTCTCCCAGTATTTTCTCAGGCTCCCTTCGTGCATGCATGTGCATGGGAAACCTGATATATCACACACATCCGAAAACATCTTTACTCATATTTCGGGGTATTTTTTCCTGTCTTACTAAGAGGGCTAGCATGGTTAGAAGTAGGCTTGGAGGTGGGAGCTGCTTACCTTTCGGTATTTTGTGATTGGAATATTAGAGCAGAAGTCATTGCTTCCCTGTGCTTGTGTTTTAGGGAACACCATCATTGTCAAGGTGAGGTTTTGTTTTAGTTGCCTCAGAGTTGTTGAGGTGGATCTGTGTGGAGGTGTACACGATATAGGGAAATCTGTTATGCTTTTACAAGACTTCCGAATAAGCTTGTGAGTATGTGCTGACACGATGTGTGTCTGACCTCGGGTACATCACATTTCAGGTAAGCTGCCTTGAAATTGCAAGTTTTGGCATCCGACATTGGTCAAAGGGCATCTGTAGACATGATCTGTTGTGGACAAAAAACTGCACATGTTGGTTCAGACAAGGGTTCAGATTAGTGTGCATATTGTTGGTTCAGATAAGGATTCAGATTGGAGTATTTCTTGTTGGGTCAGACAAGGTTCAGATAAGTGTGCATATTGTTAGTAAAGACAAGGATTCAGATTGGAGTATTTCTTGCTGGGTCAGACAAAGGTTCAGATAAGTGTGCATATTGTTAGTAAAGACAAGGATTCAGATTGGAGTATTTCTTGTTGGGTCAGACAAAGGTTCAGATAAGTGTGCATATTGTTAGTAAAGACAAGGATTCAGATTGGAGTATTTCTTGTTGGGTCAGACAAAGGTTCAGATAAGTGTGCATATTGTTAGTAAAGACAAGGATTCAGATTGGAGTATTTCTTGTTGGGTCAGACAAAGGTTCAGATAAGTGTGCATATTGTTGGGTCAGACAAAGGTTCAGATAAGTGTGCATATTGTTAGTAAAGACAAGGATTCAGGTGGGTATGCATATTGTTGGCTAATCTTCACTATCAGAAGCCTCACACCTAAAATAACGGCCAAACATCATGCAGCATATATATAGGAGTGTCTGGATGAGAATGGTTGTTAGAAGGCATGTTGAGGATATGACAGCTATGTTTGGTATGCAGCAATCAGTTATCTGGATCTGCAAGCTGCCTCCAGTCATCTGAATCTATTTTTGACAGATGGAAGTTCTTGTTTTGTTTTCTTTTTGACCAAGTTATCAGTGAGCTGTTGAGCAGCTATGTAGTGTGTATGATGGCTGGAGACATGCCTAGTGCTCAACTGCTTGTGTTAGCATGCCGTGGCAGGGCTGAGTAGGACTCACTGTCATCTCTGTAGTATAAACTGTGAGGGTTGAGTGAAGCTTAGAGGTGCTCTAGCTGTGTATCAGCAATGGTGTATGTTGCATGGTGTAGAAGGTATGTCAGCAGTATGTAATGTTAGCATCAGTTCTAAAATCATTAGTTGATATTTGCATTAACATTAACACATTTCACGGTGTTCTGTACACTGGACTGTGGCAGAACCATGTATAAAGAATCAGTGGTATGAGTTTTGCAGAATGGTATAATGATATCCCAAACGTTATACAGGTGTAAGAACATATCATCTATTATCTCTAAGCCTGAGATTTTAATGAACAGTCAAACCAAGTCTTTTTTGTTATGAAGGCCACGGCACATATACAGAGAAAGTGTATATGTAAATATTCAATGGTACATGAATTAATACATAACTTACATCATAGTACTCCAGCCTGGAGATCTTTCCATATTGTGACACTGTGTGTGCTGAACAGACTATAGAACTACATGGGATCTTGACATATTGTGACACTGTGTGTGCTGAACAGACTATAGAACTACATGAGATCTTGACATATTGTGACACTGTGTGTGCTGAACAGACTATAGAACTACATGGGATCTTGACATATTGTGACACTGTGTGTGCTGAACAGACTATAGAACTACATGGGATCTTGACATATTGTGACACTGTGTGTGCAGAACAGACTATAGAACTACATGAGATCTTGACATATTGTGACACTGTGTGTGCTGAACAGACTATAGAACTACATGAGATCTTGACATATTGTGACACTGTGTGTGCAGAACAGACTATAGAACTACATGAGATCTTGACATATTGTGACACTGTGTGTGCTGAACAGACTATAGAACTACATGGGATCTTGACATATTGTGACACTGTGGGCAGAACAGACTATAGAACTACATGAGATCTTGACATATTGTGACACTGTGTGTGCTGAACAGACAAGAGAACTACATAGGATCTTGACATATTGTGACACTGTGTGTGCTGAACAGACTATAGAACTACATGGGATCTTGACATATTGTGACACTGTGTGTGCTGAACAGACGAGAGAACTACATGGGATCTTGAAATATTGTGACACTGTGTGTGCTGAACAGACGAGAGAACTACATGGGATCTTGACATATTGTGACATGGTGTACCATTGAAGCATTAAATTAACTTCAGTAGAGTAAAGTAGAAGTGCAGAGAGTAAAGTGTTGCCACCATCTGGGTGTGTAATAAGGTAATTATACCAAAAGGATAGGTTATCTTTTACAACCAGTTCCATTGGCATGACCAATATTTACTGTTACTTCCACATTCATCACGCACTTGGCACTGGTAGTTCTAGACTTAATTGTTATGGCAGGGAGATACTGTCAAATAGACAAAGAGAAAGTGCTGCATATATATGTGTTGCAATACTGTGATGGATCATGAAGATCACATTTTATTTGAATATAGTGATCATTTACGTAAGTATTATGGCCATCGGTTTCCTTTGGAGATTTTCCTGGTGAGACTTATGACGGGCAATGCTTAGTAAACCACTATTAGACAAAATCAACATTCCAGCAGTGATCTGTAAGCAGCTCATGTATGTTATAACATTGCAGCGGTGATCTGTAAGCAGCTAGTGTATATGTTATACCATTGCAGCGGTGATCAGTATGCAGCTAGTGTATATGTTATAACATTGCTGTGGTGATCTGTAAGCAGCTCGTGTATATGTTATGACATTGCTGTGGTGATCTGTAAGCAGCTCGTGTATATGTTATGACATTGCTGTGGTGATCTGTAAACAGCTCGTGTATGTTATAACACTGCTGCGGTGATCTGTAAGCAGCTAGTGTATATGTTATAACACTGCTGTGGTGATCTGTAAGCAGCTAGTGTATATGTTATAACACTGGTGTAGTGATCTGTAAATAGCTCGTGTATATGTTATGACATTGCTGTGGTGATCTGTAAGCAGCTCGTGTATGTTATAACACTGCTGCGGTGATCTGTAAGCAGCTAGTGTATATGTTATAACACTGCTGTGGTGATCTGTAAGCAGCTAGTGTATATGTTATAACACTGCTGTGGTGATCTGTAAGCAGCTCGTGTATATGTTATGACATTGCTGTGGTGATCTGTAAGCAGCTCGTGTATGTTATAACACTGCTGCGGGGATCTGTAAGCAGCTAGTGTATATGTTATAACATTGCTGTGGGGATCTGTAAGCAGCTTGTTTGTATGTTATGACATTGCTGTGGTGATCTGTAAGCAACTCGTGTATATGTTATAACACTGCTGTGGTGATCTGTAAGCAGCTCGTGTATATGTTATAATACTGCTGTGGTGATCTGTAAGCAGCTAGTGTATATGTTATAATACTGCTGTGGTGATCTGTAAGCAGTTCGTGTATATGTTATGACACTGCTGTGGTGATCTGTAAAGCAGTTCATGTATATGCTATGACACTGCTGTGGTGATCTGTAAGCAGCTTGTGTATATGTTTTAACACTGCTGTGGTGATCTGTAGGCAGCTCGTGTATATGTTATAACACTGCTGTGGTGATCTGTAAGCAGCTGAGTTAACCAGTGCGATGTGTTTCAGAATGGAGGAGATGGTGAGGAACATGCTGCAGTACAAGAGCAAGATTGACCAGCTGAAGCAGGAGAAGTCCAACCTCTCCATCACATACGAGGTGAGACACATGCAGGGTGGCTTGGCCACATAGATCTGGTAGAAGAAGGCCAGCTGTCTGGTGACCTGATGCCTGTAGCTTCTATAACTATAGCTTCATTGTGTGATATGGCATGCTGTCTGGATGAACTAAGTGGCATGCTCTCTGGATGAACAATAGTGGCATACTGTATGGTTGAACTAGGGTATATGCTGTCTGGTTGAACTATAGTGGCATGCTCTCTGGCTAAACGATAGTGGCATGCTGTCTGGTTGAACTATAGTGGCATTTTGTGTGGTTGAACTATAGTGGCATACTGTATGGTTGAACTAGGGTATATGCTGTCTGGTTGAACTATAGTGGCATGCTCTCTGGCTGAACGATAAAGGCATGCTGTCTGGTTGAACTATAGTGTCATTTTGTGTGGTTGAACTATAGTGACATACTATATGGTTGAACTATAGTGACATACTATATGGTTGAACTATAGCGGCATGCTGTATTGTTGAACTAGGGTACATACTGTATTGTTGAACTATAGTGGCATGCTGTCTGGTTGAACTATAGTGGCATGCTCTCTGGCTGAACGATAGTGGCATGCTGTCTGGTTGAACTATAGTGTCATTTTGTGTGGTTGAACTATAGTGACATACTATATGGTTGAACTATAGTGACATACTATATGGTTGAACTATAGCGGCATGCTGTATTGTTGAACTAGGGTACATACTGTATTGTTGAACTATAGTGGCATGCTGTCTTGTTGAACTATAGTGGCATGCTGTCTGGTTGAACTATAGTGGCATGCTGTCTGGTTGAACTATAGTGACATACTATATGGTTGAACTATAGTGGCATGCTGTCTGGTTGAACTATAGTGACATGCTGTCTGGTTGAGCTATAGTGACATACTATATGGTTGAACTATGGTGGCATACCATATGGTTGAACTATAGTGGCATACTATATGGTTGAACTATAGTGGCATGCTGTCTGGTTGAACTATAGTGGCATGCTGTCTGGTTGAACTATAGTGACATACTATATGGTTGAACTATGGTGGCATGCTGTCTGGTTGAACTATAGTGGCATGCTGTCTGGTTGAACTATAGTGGCATGCTGTCTTGTTGAACTATAGCGGCATGCTGTCTGGTTGAACTAGGTTACATACTGTATGGTCGAACTATAGTGACATACTATATGGTTGAACTATAGTGGCATACTTTATGGTTGAACTATAGCGGCATGCTGTCTGGTTGAACTATAGTGACATACTATATGGTTGAACTATGGTGGCATACCATATGGTTGAACTATAGTGACATACTATATGGTTGAACAATAGTGACATACTATATGGTTGAACTATAGTGGCATGCTGTCTGGTTGAACTATAGCGGCATGCTGTCTGGTTGAACTATAGTGGCATACTGTATGGTTGAACTATAGTTGCATGCTGTCTGGTTGAACTATAGTGGCATACTGTATGGTTGAACTATAGTGACATGCTGTCTGGTTGAACTATAGTGGCATGCTGTCTGGTTGAACTATAGTGGCATACTGTATGGTTGAACTATAGTTGCATGCTGTCTGGTTGAACTATAGTGACACACTATATGGTTGAACTATAGTGACACACTATATGGTTGAACTATAGTGACATACTATGTGGTTGAACTATAGTGGCATGCTGTCTGGTTGAACTATAGTGGCATGCTGTCTGGTTGAACTATAGTGGCATACTGTATGGTTGAACTATAGTTGCATGCTGTCTGGTTGAACTATAGCGGCATGCTGTCTGGTTGAACTATAGTGGCATACTGTGTGGTTGAACTATAGTGGCATGCTGTCTGGTTGAACTATAGTGGCATACTGTATGGTTGAACTAGGGTACATACTATATGGTTGAACTATAGTGGCATGCTGTCTGGTTGAACTATAGTGACATACTATATGGTAAAACTATAGGGCATGCTGTATGGTTGAACTGTAGCGGCATGCTGTCTGGTTGAACTATAGCGGCATGCTGTCTGGTTGAACTATAGTGGCACACTCGTTAATCCGACACTCGGCTTTATCCGACTCAAATGATGGGAACCGATTGAATCAGTGCTATTTAGTCCCGTTAATCCGACATTCTCGCACTCCGACTCCGACACACCTAATTTGCAACGAATTGCCGAAATCACTCATTAATCAGTCTCGTTAATCCGACACAGTGATCAGCGTACTCCGTGGTCATCTGACTGCGAGTACACAACCCCGTGTTTTGACACGCACTGGCTGCAGAGATTAACTTAACAATTAACAGGAAAAGCTATTCAAACCTGTATGTACAAAGCTATACAAATGTAGTTTACAAATTGAAGCCAGATAAATGTGCATGAAGCCAGTTTAAAATACGAACAGGTATATAAAACATGGTCGACTGGTATGTAAACAAGAAAGCATGGATGACTTCATTAATATTCAAAGCCTGGCTACTGATCTTGGATCGGCAAATGCGTTTGGAGCAACGCCACGTGGTATTGCTGTTGGACAACGCCCCATCCCATGCTACTGTCGACATAACTAATGTGAAATGTCACTTTTTGCCACCAAACACCACATCGCACATTCAGCCACTAGATGCCGGGATCATAAAGAATTTCAAGCTTTATTATAAGAAACAGCAAATGAAATTACACCTCGCAACCACAAGCCCTAGACGTCAAGCGAGCAGGGGACTTTGAGAAATGTGCCTTCAAAATGTTAGAAACAGAAAACACTGACGGACTATTTTAAGTAGATGAAGCAAGTTGTTAAGACAGTAGCACTTGCATTTACATGAGGAAACGTGTGTCGTTGATCATGTGATAAATTCAGTGAGTAATGTCTCTATTGTTATGTATAAATGGGAAAATTATTATTATTTTTGCACAGTCATTAATTATAAATTAAGGAATGAATGAATAAACAACATAACAATATTAATATTTCGATTTTAATGATTTTATTACAAGGTACACACGGTTATTATCTATTGTGAAGACGTCCGATTTTCGATCACAAATCACTTAATTTCGTTAATCCGACATACTCGTTAATCCGACACAATCATGTGCAACCAACGATGTCGGATTAACGAGACTTGACTGTATATGGTTAAACTATAGTGGCATGCTGTCTGGTTGAACTAGAGTGACATACTATATGGTTGAACTATAGCGGCATGCTGTCTGGTTGAACTATAGTGGCATGTTGTCTGGTTGAACTATAGAGGCATGCTATCAGGTTGAACTATAGTGGCATGCTGTCTGGTTGAACTATAGTGGCATGCTGTCTGGTTGAACTATAGTGGCATGCTGTCTGGTTGAACTGTAGTGGCATGCTGTCTGGTTGAACTATAGTGGCATGCTGTCTGGTTGAACTATAGTGGCATGCTGTCTGGTTGAACTATAGTGGCATGTTGTCTGGTTGAACTAGGGTACATACTGTATGGTTGAACTATGGTGGCATGCTGTCTGGTTGAACTGTAGTGGCATGCTGTCTGGTTGAACTGTAGTGGCATGTTGTCTGGTTGAACTATAGCGGCATGCTGTCTGGTTGAACTATAGTGACATACTTTATGGTTGAACTATAGTGGCATGCTGTCTGGTTGAACTATAGTGGCATCCTGTCTGGTTGAACTGTAGTGACATACTATATGGTTGAACTATAGTGGCATGCTGTCTGGTTGAACTATAGTGGCATGCTGTCTGGTTGAACTATAGTGGCATGCTGTCTGGTTGAACTATAGTGACATACTTTATGGTTGAACTGTAGTGGCATGCTGTCTGGTTGAACTATAGTGGCATGCTGTCTGGTTGAACTATAGTGGCATACTATATGGTTGAACTGTAGTGGCATGCTGTCTGGTTGAACTATAGTGGCATGCTGTCTGGTTGAACTATAGTGGCATGCTGTCTGGTTGAACTAGGGTACATACTGTATGGTTGAACTATAGTGGCATGCTGTCTGGTTGAACTATAGTGACATGCTGTCTGGTTGAACTGTAGTGGCATGCTGTCTGGTTGAACTATGGTGGCATGCTGTCTGGTTGAACTATAGTGGCATGCTGTCTGGTTGAACTGTAGTGGCATGCTGTCTGGTTGAACTGTAGTGGCATGTTGTCTGGTTGAACTATAGCGGCATGCTGTCTGGTTGAACTATAGTGACATACTGTCTGGTTGAACTATAGCGGCATGCTGTCTGGTTGAACTATAGTGGCATGCTGTCTGGTTGAACTATAGTGGCATGCTGTCTGGTTGAACTATAGTGGCATGCTGTCTGGTTGAACTATAGTGGCATGCTGTCTGGTTGAACTATATTGGCATGCTGTCTGGTTGAACTATAGTGGCATGCTGTGCAAGTACAGCAAGCAGCCAGTGCCTCAGCTACATTGTTATAAATTCCAGACATCTGACGCATGTTTGAGACCACAGGTACTTCAGTTATGAGTTGACATACAGCAGTTTTGTTAAAGATTGAATAGTTTGATTCAATGCATGATGACAGTTTCTACTTGTTGTGTGTGTGTAATGGATTGCTTTGCCTTGCAGACAAACCTGCAGAAGTACAGCTCCCACATCAGCACCCTGGAGCGGGAGAACATGGTGCTGCTCAATGAGGTGAAGAAACTGGAGGCGCAGGTTGGTACTGTCACAGCTGCTGGTGATGGTGTAACTCTGGATTCTCAGACTTTACTGATAAATTAAATCTTGTGTCATATGAATAGATGCTATGTATTGTTTTCAATGTTTTTGCAAGAAAAGACATAGGCATTCTCACATAATTTGTCAAGCAGATGGCTATATTTGTAAGTAAGTATCTGTACACTCTATACCTTACCCAACTGACCAGGATTGTTTGTGCAGCTGTCAAGCAAGGGAGATGACCAGGACAAATCCAAGCTACTGCTGCAGAGACTCAAGATGCTGGAGGCAGAAAACTCTGCCCTGGTGCTGGAGAATGAACAACAACGACACCAATATGAGAAGTGTCTTGATGAGATAGCAAACCAGGTTGTACAAGCACTTCTTGCACAGAAGGTATGCAGAGTTAGCCCCCTCTATATTCACTTTGGGCAAGTCAGAACTCTGTATTCTTATTGAACAGAAGGTATGCAGAGTTAGCCCCCTCTATATTCACTTTGGGCAAGTCAGAACTCTGTATTCTTATTGAACAGAAGGTATGCAGAGTTAGCCCCCTCTATATTCACTTTGGGCAAGTCAGAACTCTGAAGGCTGTTTACATGATGGTTTACAAAGTAGATATATATTGATTGTGTGGCCAAGCTGTTCTGTTTGTGTGGTAGTTCTGAACATTCACATTAACAGTGCCAGTACTGATAAAATTGATAAGTGACTTTCTGGAACTTTTGTGCTCATAACATTTGTAAATTCACCTTGTTGCTATATTGTGGTAGTTAACTACATCTACCCTTACTTCAGACACTGCGTGAAGAGTGTATGAAGCTGCAGGGCCGTGTTCAGGACCTGGAGCTGCAGAACAGGCAGCTGAACGTCATGTTCCAGCAGAAGCTACGATGTGCCTCCGACTCCATAGTGCAGGTATACATCTTTATGTCACCCTATACCCCACACATGTTATACAATATAACCCTTTATACAACCCTATACCCCACACATGTAAGACAATATAACCCTTTATACAACCCTATACCCCACACATGTAAGACAATATAACCCTTTATACAACCCTATACCCCATACATGTAATACAATATAACCCTTTATACAACCCTATACCCACAAGTTATACAATATAACCCTTTATACAACCCTATACCCCACACATGTAATACAATATACCCTTTATACAACCCTATACCCCACACATGTAAGACAATATAACCCTTTATACAACCCTATACCCCACACATGTAAGACCATATAACCCTTTATACAACCCTATACCCCACACATGTAAGACAATATAACCCTTTATACAACCCTATACCCCACACATGTAAGACAATATAACCCTTTATACAACCCTATACCCCACACATGTAATACAATATAACCCTTTATACAACCCTATACCCCACACATGTAAGACAATATAACCCTTTATACAACCCTATACCCCACACATGTAAGACAATATAACCCTTTATACAACCCTATACCCCACACATGTAAGACAATATAACCCTTTATACAACCCTATACCCCACACATGTAATACAATATAACCCTTTATAAAACCCTATACCCCACACGTTATACAATATAACCCTTTATACAACCCTATACCCCACACATGTAAGACAATATAACCCTTTATACAACCCTATACCCCACACATGTTATACAATATAACCCTTTATACAACCCTATACCCCACACATGTAATACAATATAACCCTTTATACAACCCTATACCCCACACATGTAATACAATATAACCCTTTATACAACCCTATACCCCACACGTTATACAATATAACCCTTTATACAACCCTATACCCCACACATGTAAGACAATATAACCCTTTATACAACCCTATACCCCACACATGTAATACAAGATAACCCTTTATACAACCCTATACCCCACACATGTAAGACAATATAACCCTTTATACAACCCTATACCCCACACATGTAAGACAATATAACCCTTTATACAACACTATACCCCACACATGTAAGACAATATAACCCTTTATACAACCCTATACCCCACACATGTTATACAACATGTTATGTGAAGATGACATCCAGACTCTAAATGACACAACTGTCTTCACCCAAAAGGCTGTGTTATGTGAAGAGAACATCCAGACACTAAATGACACAACTGTCTTCACCCTATAGGCTGTGTCATGTGAAGAGGACATCCAGACACTAAATGACACAACTGTCTTCACCCAAAAGGCTGTGTTATGTGAAGAGAACATCCAGACACTAAATGACACAACTGTCTTCACCCTATAGGCTGTGTCATGTGAAGAGGACATCCAGACACTAAATGACACAACTGTCTTCACCCAAAAGGCTGTGTTATGTGAAGAGGACATCCAGACACTAAATGTCACAACTGTCTTCACCCTATAGGCTGTGTTATGTGAAGAGGACATCCAGACACTAAATGACACAACTGTCTTCACCCTATAGGCTGTGTTATGTGAAGAGGACATCCAGACACTAAATGACACAACTGTCTTCACCCTATAGGCTGTGTTATGTGAAGAGGACATCCAGACACTAAATGACACAACTGTCTTCACCCAAAAGGCTGTGTTATGTGAAGAGGACATCCAGACACTAAATGACACAACTTTCTTCACCCTATAGGCTGTGTTATGTGAAGAGGACATCCAGACACTAAATGACACAACTGTCTTCACCCTATAGGCTGTGTTATGTGAAGAGGACATCCAGACACTAAATGACACAACTTTCTTCACCCTATAGGCTGTGTTATGTGAAGAGGACATCCAGACACTAAATGACACAACTGTCTTCACCCTATAGGCTGTGTTATGTGAAGAGGACATCCAGACACTAAATGACACAACTGTCTTCACCCTATAGGCTGTGTTATGTGAAGAGGACATCCAGACACTAAATGACACAACTGTCTTCACCCAAAAGGCTGTGTTATGTGAAGAGGACATCCAGACGCTAAATGACACAACTCTCCTTGCACAGCATTAACGATTTGTTATTACTTCATGTTGCAGTACTCAGTAGGGATATATACGTGACATACAACCCAGCCCGGTGTACCTGCCACTCGTGTTATTGACACCTGAAAGGTATTTCATGTGACTTTATTTGTTGTTTCAGCAATCTGTGCCTTCTCGCAAGCAGCTTGCTCCAGTCCAGGTTTGTGAGGCAGCAAAGTCCAACACCACCCCTGTCAGTATAACAGCCATAGTACACCCACAATCTCAGCAGGTCAGTGCATTGAAGGTCCTTCTAAAGAATTCTAAACTGATCTTTATCAAAGCTTTCTTACCATTTAGTTTAACTGACGTATTTAATGTTTAATACTAACATTCCCCAGTTGTTCTCTCTCTGACCATGCACCTGTCCCGTTTCTCACCATCCAGCCCCGGCACATCACACAAACAGCTCGCCCTCAAGCAGCAGCAGCACCAGCAGGGGGTAAAGGGGAGACAACCCCACCAACACTGGAGAGGTCCACGGGTTCACTTCAGAGCATGTGTAGTGAATATGTACGTTCTTGACTTGTCAATCTAGATACTATGTAAGAGACCCGTGAAGATCCGGGGTAGAAAAGGTCTTCAGTAACCTATGCTTGCTGTAAAAGGCGACTATGCTTGTCGTAAGAGGCGACTGACGGGATCGGGTGGTTAGGCTCACTGACATGGTTGATGCATGTCATCGTATCCCAAATGCGTGGATCGATGCTCATGATGTCAACCACTGGATTGTCTGGTCCAGACTCGATTATTTTCAGACCACCATCATAAAGCTGGAATGTTGCTGCGTGCAGCGTTAAACAACAAACAAACAAACTATGTAAGAATCAATTATGATACACTTTCAGCAAGTTATTTAATTTGGTTAATGAACATCAATTAGTAAAATCTTTCTCAAAACTTTGATATATATCCCCAATGCTTTGTATCCCTAGTTTCTTTAATCTAACCCATGAATGTTCTTTGTTATAGCTGTTTGATGATAGTCCTGGTATGCCCGAGATGAGTTCTCCTCCCCCTTGGCTGAGAGATAAGCTGGACTTGCCCTTGACAGATGAAAGTCGGCCCAGTTCTTCTGACAACAGTCCTGTGACCCCCCCTACCCCCTCCCACACAGAGTCCATTGCAAAGGCCAGCAGCAGCCCAGCATTACAGACAAAAATAAAAACAGAATTCCCAGCCAATAATTCTAGTCCAAAGGTGAAACATGTCACTGGACTTGAAAGAGGCTGTCAGTCTCTAGATCGGATTGGTGTTGCTAGAAAGTCCCCTAGTATCAAAAACACAACACGTCCTCATCGAAAACCTAAAAGTTTAGGGAAGAAGTCATCCAGTGAGAAGAATGTAAATGCTGAAGGTGCTGCTAACAAAGCACAAGTTTTGCCCCCTCCATCTCCACGGACCAAGTCTCGAATACCAAGCAGGGTTCCAACACTTACAGCCAATCAGGGAGCTCGGAAAGGGTCAGGTGACCACACACCCGAGCAGAAAGTGCAAGGACCAAAACACAATACACCTCAAAGTTTCCATGATCTCATGTCACAGAGGAAAAAAGCACTCTCTCGGGATAATTCTCCTAAATCTGTCAACTCATCAAGACAATCCAGTGACTCTCCCCGACACACGCTGCCATTTCGCAGTCAGTACTATTATGACTACAGTGATGAGGACAGTGACTCCCGACCAGTGTCTAGAGACTCTAGCACCGCCTCCACTGTCTCACTCAATGATCTCTTGGATAGTAGTTTAGACATGGACAACCCTCTCGATGAGGACTTCCTTTCTGACTGGTCTCCAAATTGTCTGTCACCAAATAGCCTCAACACACCTGCCTCAGGCCCGAGTCAGATTCCTGTTATGACAAAGGGGATGTTCTACCACTATGCCAATCCAACACGATCTTCACCTAAAACTGTCAAGTCAGGGCCATATGCTGATATTATAGTAAAAGATGGCTCAGCAACTGTGGTGAAAAGTGAAGACGGGTTTAGTGGGTGTAAACCTCTTAGACCAGATAACCTTATTCTTGTGCCAAGAGAAAAACAGTTTTCTTGTGGATTCAGTTCATCCAGCTCTTCGAGCACTGAGGAACACAAGTCTTTGATCAACAGTGTCAAACGTAACGTAAGTAGTGATGCCAAGGGGAAAAATAGTGAGCAGAAGTCAGAGAAGGGAGGTAACCCTCAGAAAGTTGAAAAACATGACAGTATGGTGAGAAAATATCCAGCAAATGTTGCTGGAGATAACAAGAACTGCATTGTTGCCAATGTTTCTCTTCTTGTTAGTCCACCCGGGAAATTTAAAAAATCACCACCACCTGTGCCACAAAAACCTCCAAGGTTACGTAAATTATCTAGTGAAGATCAGTGTCAAGGTCGCACAGACAAGAAGGGTAGTGGACTGATCATGGACAAAGATGGAATGCCATTTTTGAGTGAAAATTTGACTGTTGAAAAACAGAAAGATCTCGCTGCGTTTCTTGTCCAGGATGTAATTGAACGTGTGAAAAGCAGAGAAGTGTTGGCATACCATCAAAAGGCTCCATCTTCTGACACTAGTTTCGAAAGTGTCCGTGTAGAACGCTCTGGAAGTAAAGATGATGGATATTCCACTATGTCTAGTGACATTCAGCCAGAGATTTTAGAAAAATTCAGTGATGCTGCAGCACAAAAAGTTGAAATTCTATTTAAATGTGAACAAGTAAATGAGAGTGACATTAGTTCCACAGCTGAATGTAGTACTATAAAGACAAAGGATGCATTCACAGATGTGATGAGTGATCACGACTCTGCCATGGAGACATCCACACACAGCATGGAGCTGCGCAACTCCAACCAGAGTTTGTCCTCACAAGTGTCCTCCTCCAGCTGCGAGAGTGCTGTCAGTCCTGTCCTTAAGGTCAATGACATGAAAAAGTTTTTCGAGGAGGAGGCAAAGAAACTTAAAGGTGCTAAACAGCTAGACGCTTCCAGATCACCAATCATATCTCCCAAGAGTCCAAAGAAACGCTGGCCATTTGATAAAGACAGACATGCCAAAAGCCCTAATTCCTCCAAATCTATGCAACAGGCTCTGGAAGTAAATGGCTCTGTTCCAGCTAAAGATCCTGCTCAGGATGATGGGTCTGTCCCAGCAGCAGATATCATCTTCCAAAATTTCACCAGTGTGACGGAAAATTCCATCTGTGACCATGCACTGTCACTGCACATCAGTGAAGACAAGTTGTTGGAGGATATACCAGAGGATGATGAGTGGGAAGCTATTCACAACAAAACTGTGCAAGAAAGTGTTGCCATGCAAAAGAATAGCCTCAAGTCACACCTTCAAAATTCCATGGAAAACATGTCCAGCAAACCTCAACCTTTCACTCAAAAACTTCCTTGTTTGCCACCGTTAGATTCCACAAAGTATACATCGACCAAACTTCCTTCATTGTGCCTTACCAAGGCTAAGTCAGACTCCGATCTGTCCAATGCTGGACAGAGTAAATCTACCTCTCTGTATGAAGACTTCACGCAAGGAAACTGGGACAGTGGAAAAGTTCCAGAACGTTCAGCATCAGTCTCAGAGATGGATTTCCAGCCAGTGCCATCTACTGGCAGCAACTGTGATTACCAACGCCAAGTTGTACAAATTGACATCGATGAAACCTCCGTCCTATACAGGGTACATGACATAGTCAAGGATCACTGTCAGTCAAAGGTATAGTAACAGATATATGTCAGAACATTATACAATATTATGAAAGGCCTTAATCAGTAATTAGCCACATTTATTTGTATACACCATTATTAATACAAAAACAATGTCATGAATGTACTTGCTCAGTGTGATCTCTAGATACTGTAGGACATTTTTAAAACTAACACAAATATATTGAAAGTATGTATAAAAATCTATTTTAAAAGTCCTGACTGTAACCTTATATTTTAGCATATACACTTCAATTTAGTGGGAATGCTTTTCATCTGTAGATGTCTCCCGCCCTGGTGTCAGACTCGGACACTGACTCTGAGGCTCAGATCAACTTTATTGAATTACTGAAACAGAAAAGTGAGCGACCCTTCACGCTGCCCCCATGGACGCCAAAACACACCATGGATGAATTAAAGAAGGTATTGCAAGGCCCTTTATTTCAGTATCAAATAACATCCACTTCTTTTTACTCTAAATCATATAATGATGCATAAATCATATAATGATGCGTAATGAAAATGAGGATCCTTGAAGTATTTACTAATGATATTTTCTATTCTTGCAGAGCTCTACCCCCTCCCCAGTGTCGATGAAGAAGTTTGATTCTTCTAACCCTGAAGATTGGCTACTGAAGTTCAGCAAAGATGAAATTGAAAAACACATTAAAGGTAGTAACCTCCAAGCCTCTTCACAAAATGGCTGTGCAGAGGATGATTGTCTGAACAATATCAGTGGTAACCTTTCATCGGCAGAAGCCAACATTTCGAACAGTTCCACAGTTGCTCAGGATGGGTCCTTCACTGCCCCTGAGACATCTAATGGTACACATGAGGGGGCATCGAGTGAGGATAGTCCACGATCACCACCATCAGAAGAGCAGACCAAATTTAACAGCAATTTCTACAGCCTCTGCAACATGGGCTCCAACAGAAGTCTCTTCTCCAATGGGAGTCATGATCGGGGGATTAACAAACTTGGTCCACCTGAACTAGAGAGACCAAGAGTTAGAAAAAATGCTGGAGAGGAGAATATTGAATCCAGGGAATTTGAAGAGATTTCAAGACAAATTGCCAACTTATCCAAAACTGTGAATGATTTGCATAAAAGTTTATCAAGTTTGAATTCTGCTGATTCTGGATCCACCAACGAACTTCCAGGATGTCCTCCTCCTGCCAATCAAACCACTGCTCAGCCTTCAGCTGCACTTGATGGCTACCACTGGGTGGATGATGAGTTTTACATGGCATCCTGTGGAGGAGAGGTCATCATAGGGAGCACAGAATTACTTGCTGAAGAGTCTACCAACTGGATGGATGACTTTGAGGACAATGATGGTGCTACGTGTGACCTGGATACTAACTGTGAGATTCGAGAGGAGGAATTCTATGAGATTCAGGTGAATGGGACATCATACACAGACCTGCCAGGATACACATACTCAGAGAATGGGGCTGCCAGTACCAGAGTTTATCATGGCAATAAGGCCTGCAACGGGGATAAGACCAGGCTCCCAAAGAGGCATCTGTCTGACAGCCACATGGCTGATCCTGAGGTAAATACAAAACATCAATGCCAGAGAATAATCTGTCTCATTTATCTGTGAAACAGATTCCATTGAATGTGATAAGCAAAATACTGGGGGGGAAATTACGATTGGATCACTAAAATTCAGTGATGAAACCAGGGATTTGCATGTCCTGAGATAAAGCATCAGCAGGTACACCTAGACTGTCTTATTTATTGACTGGATATTTATGCAACACTTGTCTCATCTTCACTTCAGTCACTTTCTTTCTTTTGAAAGATGCTTATTGACAATATTTACCAATATTTATCCAAGACAGTTTATCAGATTTAAGTGAACTAAATTGGCATAACTTTCTCCATCCATCATTTGTTTTCAGTAGTAAACCCTCATGAAAAGTCAAATAGACTACCGAGACTTATGTAACAATATCATATTGACCAGGGTTTCTAGGAAAGCCTTCTGTTTACCTCATTTATAATGCAACGTGTAGTATTTATTCCTGTATCATCATTCGTGCCAGGTCTGTTTCACTAAATTCAAAGGTCTAACAGTGTTTATTTGCCATAGTTTGGCTGACATTTACTGTCAGTGTCAGTATGGGTTGAAAACTGATTCAACAGATATGTTATATGTATACGTAATATGTAATGCGGGGTCACTATGTGCTTTGTTTGATTTCCACCAAATGGCCAGGTCGTTTCATTGCAGGTTCTGTGGTGTAGTGGTAGAGCATCTGCCCGGAGAGCAGATGGTCTGGGGTCGATACCCAGCCACGTTTACAAAGACGTTAAAAGATGATACTTGTTGTTACCCTGCCTGGTGCTTGGCATAAAGGGGTTAAAACAAGGACTTGTTAGCTTAGAGTCAGTATACTGTGACTGAGTGGGGTACTCATGTTCAACTGCAGCATATCTCCGTGGTCAAGCATATAAAAAGCTTTATTCCAGACTAATACAAGAGGCCACACACACACCTGTATGCACGTCGCTATATAAGTGCAATAATCTTGGATGCGACATTAAACCCCATTTCACCTCACCTCATTGTAGGTCAGCATTGTGATTAATGAATCATATGACATAAAAATATCCATATTAAAAGACAGGTAGTATACTTCATATGCGTAAAGGTCAAAATAGCTGTCACTAGTATTGCTTGTGAACAAAATATTTCAAGATGTGTGGACAGGATGCTATGCCAAGTTAACCACAAATAGAGTTGACAGCTTGTTATTTCTCTGAAAGGAACATTGTATACTGATGCTGTTGTGTTCTGCAGAAGCGTGCCGACATCCTGGACTCCATGCTGGCATCAGGTGGGGAGAGTAATGACAGCCTTGCCAGTGACATTGGTTTGGACCATGTGATGTGTCAACGCCTCATTGGCCGCAGGAGACAAGGTGATAAATCTTTGAACACATTCATAATCATGATAATAAACTAGTATGAGTTTATTCTGATAAACATGAAGAACATTTGGCTTAATAACTTGTTTCTGAATGGATTTTGTCTTTTCTCAGCTCGCCATGAAGTGATGAGGTACCCGTCAACCCACCGCCCTCCTCTTGACTTTTCCAAGTTCTTCATTAGATATGGAGAGCCTGAACAACAAGCTGTGGCTGCTTTCGATTTTCTCGAGGACCTTTCTACTTCTAACTCTGAATCTGGCTCTCTCCCAAGACTGATAGCTCTGGACAATGTTGAAGGCAATGAGGAACGTTCTGAACATTGTCGCGGACACAGAAGTCGTCAGATAAACATGAACCATGGTCAAGGACAACCTCTGGAAGGTCACAGATTAGAAAACCAAAAGATAATAACAACCTCGTCAGGAAGGGTAAGACGGGTGGACAAGAATAAGCGGAAAAAAAGGGGAGATGCTATGAAAGCCCGGAAGCAGCGGGAGAACAATTCCCGTATAGGCATGGGACAAGCCTGTAGAGCTGACTCACCCCAGCAGCAGGACTCCTCGGATGCAGCAGTCAGTGCAGGCAACTTATCACTGAGTGACTCTTGCTGTGAGGGCTTCTCCAACCAATGACCTGACTATGTTGTGAGCCAAATGGCTCACTGGGGTATATAGTCAGGGATCCTTATCTTCCACATGCATTCACACTCTTTTGGTGCCAGGATGTTATATAGATTACATATATACACAAAGTGTTTGCAAGGGTGTACTGAGTGAGAGGCTAGTTGTACAGGACAGGGATATGTAGACATGACATCTTTTATTCTGCCAATATCATTAATTGTTTATTGATTTTATACTTCATTATCAAAAGTATAGAATAACAAATAATAACAAAATATATTACTGTTCCCATTGGCAGCTTACAACCATCCATAGGGAACCATTACAGACTATTTCATGGTTGTAATTTTGTACTGAGATATTTTTGCTAGTCTCAAAATAACTTTGAGTAGACTAAGGTTAGTGACAGAATAACTTCAAGTTTCATGTTGGCAGTATTTGTCACCAAACTCATACAGCTGCAGACTTTACTGGCTTGTATTTTCTGTATACTTAACATTAAATGACTTTGAGTCACCGGAGCTTATCATCAGGTGCATACGGGTGCCAACTGGATCTACTGGGACAAGCTGTACATATCTATATACACATGCCATTTCACCTGCTATATCTGGTTGCCCACGTGGTCCCCGCTGTCCAGTGTAGGGAAGGACACACTCCTCAAACATCTGTAAATCATCTGCATCATTAAAGCATTAGTTACATGGTACATGGACTGTCGATCACCTGTAGGATTTTATGCATCTATCATTCACCAATGCTCATAACGTTTAATCATACAACAATAGGGCATGTGACATTCAGACTGACTGGTATACCTGTCTACAACTGCTGTGGTGTGTCCTGGGGAACAATGTAGGCCGCACCTGTATTTCAGTCAAAATGCATGTTGACAACATTCACACGCTTTATCAACTACTGTAGTGTCTACCTCAACTCTTCAGGCTCATTTGATCAGTGTTCAAAGGTTCCTGGAATAGTAGAATCAAACCTCTATGTTCAGTAACATCTAAACCGTAACAATCAGCTTCTATAAATATGTTCTTGAGATCATTTATGAGTGATTTTGTGCCACGTTGACCATTGACTCTAGTGCCTGTTGTTAAAATGTGCCATTACCCAATTGAGGAGGTTACAGTGTGAAGTAGAAGGGTCACTTGTTGTCGCCTCAGTAGTTCTTCTGCCTTTTTCAGCAGCCTGTTGTTTTACTACTGGCTGATTATGTCTGCAAATAGGAATTTGGCTGTTACTTGTGCTCTGCGTTGGTGAAAATCTGTGATTTTACATTCAATTTAAATTTCAAGTTATTGCTACATTTTTGTAGTGATCCTATTGTAAGTGCTATTTATTCACACAATGCTTTAATATGATTGTTGAATTTGTAATTTGCTTATTGTATTGAACTGGAAAGTTGACTTTGCACATTCTTACATTTTGTGGTGTTGATTTTGCCACAAGTGAACATTGATGTAATATATTTCTTCAAAATAATTATTATGCCATCTTTTTCTGTATTGTTGATTTAGAAATTCTTACTATCAACAAAACATGTGAACTAGGTGTGATGGAAAATATGGTTATCTCCCTTGATCTAGGATTTTAAGAAGTTGTTATTTTAATGCTATTCTGAATTGTTATCAGAATTGTTTTAGTGAGGAATCCTTAATGTGTCTTAAATTATCCTGTTTACTGGAGTGAATGAATCTACACCAAAATATCAGTAAGGTTTTCTTTTTTACAATGGGCCCTACATCCTTTAAGATGTCATCTGCAGTATTGCATAAGAGTTGTCCATCATTTTAACAGGACATCTAATATACCCAATATGAGAATTTTGATACATTATTTACCGAGTGCCTCCTGAGTTTCAAAGCAGGTGCTGATGACGGTGAGACACGCTTGCCAATACTCTGATCCACTATGCAGATGCCCCGCCCACAAGCAATACCAGCCTGAATACCACACCTACTTCATCGCCATTATTACTCCACCGCTACACATGTATAGTAAAGATTTTAAATCTGCTGAATCTTGTTCATGTGGGATACATTGATCTTCATACTTTCATTGCGGTTTCATCTTCATCCATTTTGTTATTAATACCCATTGTGGGACTATGTCATGTAAGTTGTATTGGATTTTACCGTCTATGTGTAGCTTAACCTGACAGATTTGTTGAGTTCTACTCCCAGTATGTGTTTTAAGGTGTGTCCTCAGTAGCTGAGAGGTGCAACATGTCAGAGCCACTATGTCAGCATGCCTGTTGAACCATCATCAGCTTACAAACTCCATTTCAGTAAGCAGAATATGCTTTACATGTATTAAAATGTTTTGTGCTGCTATTGATACAGAATGAAGGAATGGTATTTTGTAATATTATAAATTTCAGTTTCTTACATCAATTCAATGATGATTAGTGACTTGCTTTGCAACATGTTCATATTTTCTACTTGGAAGAAATCTTTTGATCTCATAATGTGTAAATAGCAATAGCAGGTTTGATTTGCCTGCTTTTATGCAGATGTGTGTTGAGCAATGACAATGGAAAGGCTTCCCACTGTTGGATGTTAGTGTCTTCTGAGTGAATCAGTTTTTTTATACCAGCCTGAATGTAAACAATGATACTAGGTGTATGGATCAGAGAGTAGTATGTTTCATAGGAGTACCATATATTTAATATATGTCACACTTTCACAGGAGTGATTTCGAATTCATTGAATTTTATGTATGCTGTTGACATGAGAATCAGATATTTTGTTCACAAGTTTATGAAAGATTTTTTTCTAAAAGGAAGAATATTTAATAATCTTGTATTCATTGAAATCAGTGAACATTTCATATCTATTTACAGAATATTTATAGCCCTTAGATTTGAAACTTGTGAGCAAAAACTAAGCAAGTCACATGAGTATGTACTTTTCATACCAATAATAAACTACTATATCTAGATGCAATGCATTGTGTTTTGTTGCCTTCACATGTTTACTACACATCAACAAATTTCATTACTATAATTACATTTTCAGACTGAAAGAGGGATATGTAATATTGTGGCCATATGAAGAAATGAGGTGTCACCATTGTCGGGAATAAATATTGAACACTCTCATAAACTTGATCCATGTTGTTTTAGCTACAGTTCAACTGCTACACTGACTCAAGGATGGGAATCTTGAACCTAATTTTGCCTACTTGAATGTAAGTCTTGCCGTCCTCGTACATATCTGCAGAAACCACTTGTCCACTGAAGCTGTAAATTAACATTATTCAAATCATCACACAGAAATACTTTACCTAAACAGGAACCCTCTGTTCTGAATATGCAATTTTTACACTATGCATTTCTTCTTATTCTTCGATCCTGGTGTTAGAACAAAGTTTCCAGCTTCAAAAAACATTAATCACCCAAACACATCCCATACATCACCAAATCAGCACTGTGATCATGGGTCACACACCACTGCATTCCCGTGCGACACGACCCCTGCGATCCTAACACCAGACATATCCAGCACCCTCATTCTCAATTCTATTGCGGGGGGCACGGGTGGCCCAGTCGTCTAAGGTGCCGCGATTCGCTGTGCAGAGTTGCGTCCCTTGGGCACGCCAGAAACCTATGATTGTGGGTTCGAATCCCGGTTAGCACCATACCCATGCTCGTGGGTTTCACCGAAGTGGTAAACGTCCGAGACCTGCATCACTTCGGGCCTTCCTCCCACATTAAGCTGACACGCCGTGATATAACTGGAATACTGTTAAAAGCGGCGTTAAACCCAACTCACTCACTCACTCAATTCTATTGCCTGGGGTTTCGGACGTACACCCAAACATAATTGTTTTAGTTGGGTTTTTTATAAAAGATTTTCACGACTTCACTTCTGTTTACCATTACCATAAAGAGTGTGTGGTACACAAAGATACGATATATTATTTAGTCGTCACATTCTTTTACACGAATGGTATCACCTGTTTTTCGCCACTTAACCCCATCCCATTTGTTGTGATTGTAGTGGAGTGTGTGGTGCACGATGTGTACAGTGTGTTACCTTGTTAGAATCAGATCTCAACTTACTTCGCTAAGTGTTTGATAAAGGCGACTGTTTTCGGTTTCAAGGCGTTGTTTACTGATTCATATGTGGAATAGAGCTGGCGAGACATGCTTTTGAAAACAGATCTAGTTTTTTCGTATAAAATATATTTGTGTGCTGGTGATTAGGTCCCTCACTCTTGCAGTGTGTGCTCACCTTGGTACTACACCGTTTCGCCCAATATTCTACAAGAAACTGACTGACAAAGGAACACCCTTTTTTTTGTTTCTCGGGACACCACTTGTGTGTTTGACCAGCTTTTGACCACGTGTTCGGAAAGACTGCTGCATTTCCGGTTCCTGCAAATTACACATCACATGTCTAGATAGCTCTGTTTTGTAAACAAGACTTGGTACAGACTGATCTCATACAAGCCATGCGAAGCATTTACAGTAGTATTCAATTACTATACGTGTGGTCTTTCACCGGGGCGGTCGGGTAGCCTAGCAGTTAAAGCGTCGCGCCAAGGACCCGAGTTCCATTCCCGACATGGGTACAATGTGTGAAGCCCATTTCTGGTGTCCCCCGCCGTGATATTGCTGGAATATTGCTAAAAGCAGGTTAAAACCACTCACTCACATCTTCATAATTCTTTTTGTCGACATTTTTGTTTTGGTATATGATTATAATGTTCTCTACGTCCCTTCAAGGCACAGTTTCTGCTACTTCCGTACTTCCACGTGGTCCTGATTACCCTGCTTCGTACGAACGGTCAACCGGTGAACTATATATTCCGCTTCGTTTTTTTACAAGATACAAATTTGATTTTAACATACCCACGAAAAATTTTACTATCAGTTTTAGAACACATTCATTTGTGTTATGTGTGCTTGGATGTGCATAAATGTCAACCATCAGTATGACACAATACACAGCAGGGAGGCTGTGCCAGATGTGCACTCCCCTTACATCTGTGACACCAACAAAATGAGAACCGATTAAGACCATCCATACAGACTTCACTTGTGAAAGTCAACTTTATTCACAGACATGGAACAGATTACTACCATGTATTATTTGTGGCTGCTCGGTACCCATTCACTGACAGCATTATGCCAACTGTTGGAAGTTGCCAGTCCCTCCCGTCAGTATACTACACAACACTTTGGCAAACTATGAGTATTACACTCAAATCAAATTCAGTTAACACAAATGTCACCAACACTAAAGTCATATTGCACATAGAAAACAAAAATCTCAGTGTCTGAATGATCTTCAATTCCAAACCTAGAAGGTTATATGAAGGTCAATTTCTGGAATTCCTGTATCACAGATATGCTGGTCACTGTCACTACTGATGCTGGAGATGGTGATTGTCAACCTTACACTGACCATCCACAGCAATAAATACTAACACTGTACTGCTAACACAAACTGTTTCCAGAATAATCATGTGTCAACAAAGCTCTACATCGGGGCTAGTCCTGAGCTGTAGGTCTAGTGCAACACATCCACACATGACCACTAACTTCTTGGCTTGGATTGCACCATCAGGTGGCTTCCTCACTGTACAGATCAACTGGAGGCCTGCAAGCTCTCTGTACATAACATCTGAGTCTATCTACCTCACTATAGGGTACATCTACCTCACTGTACAGGGCAACAGGAGGCCTGCAAGCTCTCTGTACACAACATCCGAGTCCATCTACCTCACGGTACAGGGCAAATGGAGGCCTGCAAGCTCTCTGTACATAACATCTGAGTCCATCTACCTCACTATAGGGTACATCTACCTCACTGTACAGGGCAACAGGAGGCCTGCAAGCTCTCTGTACACAACATCTGAGTCCATCTACCTCACTATAGGGTACATCTACCACACGGTACAGGGCAACTGGAGCCCTGGAAGCTCTCCGTACACAACATCCAGGTCCATCTACCACACGGTACAGGGCAACTGGAGCCCTGCAAGCTCTCCGTACACAACATCTGAGTCCATCTACCTCACTGTACAGGGCAACTGGAGGCCTGCAAGCTCTCTGTACACAACATCTGAGTCCATCTACCGCACGGTACAGGGCAACTGGAGGCCTGCAAGCTCTCTGTACATAACATCTGAGTCCATCTACCTCACTATAGGGTACATCTACCTCACTGTACAGGGCAACTGGAGGCCTGCAAGCTCTCTGTACACAACATCTGAGTCCATCTACCTCACTGTACAGGGCAACTGGAGGCCTGCAAGCTCTCTGTACACAACATCCGAGTCCATCTACCTCACTGTACAGGGCAACTGGAGCCCTGCAAGCTCTCTGTACACAACATCCGAGTCCATCTACCTCATGGTACAGGGCAACTGGAGCCCTTCAAGCTCTCTGTACACAACATCTGAGTCTGTCCGACTCGCTGTGATAGCACCAATATGAAACCTGGAGTTGGAGACGTCTCACGTGACACAGTAATGGAGAAACATGAGCACCAGAAGACAGCCAGGGGCCAGGCTGGAGAGAGGGGATGCAAAGTTGAGCACAGATAAAGACAGCTGCATGGCGGTCATGTTGTCCACTGCTACCTCCTTGTTACAATAGGACTCTGTGCAGCATGATACACATTCCTGAAACATGCAATACTCTTACTGAAGTAACAACCACGCATATTTGTATTTTAATACGCCTGCAAACAAATAGCCTGCCTATTACAAAAAATATGATGTTTATTTTAACTTACACTGCTTTTACCTAGAATAATATCTGTGATATGATATCAAATACTTGATACACAAAGTAATCCATGCTAAAATGGGTAGCCTTACACCCTATATATTGAAGGGGGGTTGCAATCCTATGATAAACAGAACAGGTAATTACAGTGATGACAGTCAACTACAGTTGACACATTTCACACCCAAGGCAAAGTAGTTGGGTGAAGCTCCCACGTTGAAACACACAACCTTTGTTGAAGATACTTAATGGTTAATGGGAAAGTTCAAATTTGATACTGACAAAAGGACATCCATGTTATTGATCCGGTAGTGAACTGATGGTTACAAGAAACTGCATCTGTACATAGAGACAGTAGCCTCCAGCTATATTTTCACAGTGACATAGGATACCAAGAGGCACAGCTGAGTAAGTGGCCCAACATCCAGAGCCCACACCACACTGGGGGCAGAAAATGCTATGATTTACATTCGATCATCATCCCTGGTATGGCCTCCTATTACCCACCATATTTTGTTTTAGGAGGTAACAGTATCATCTCAACCTCATTGAAGTCACAAGTAATTTGATGGTCATTTCTAGTGTTGTGACATTGAAATTGGACTACAAATGTGTACAGGGGATATATCACAAGAGATATACACCGGATTAGCCACATGGTCAATGATGCTGGTACATTTACATCAGATCATCTTACAACTTACATTTCCATCTTAAGCTTTTCATGGATCTCTCAGATGAATAATGATTGATATGTTCACACAATTTAATATTGATATATCCCTTGACTAGTTTTACCTTGAGTGACCGATTATCTGTTGCCCGGCAGCCAACATGTGTCTTGCTGCACTGGGAGGGTGCAACACATCCCTTGTTGACCAAGACACTGGAGCCTGACGCTGACTCGAACCTGTGGACAGTCCTGCACACTGTTTGCTCTGTAACGCAGCAAAACTTGCATTATTAACACACTGCAGAGCTTGAGGAGTACTTTGTTTTAGTGTAAGGTATCCATATACATAAGATCTTGTCACTGAGAAAATCAAAATGAGAATATTATCCAATACCGAGGGTTTTAGGAAGGATAAGGGCCCTAATAAAAGGCCTACTGGATATGTCAAATGTTAACGTTGTGAAAAACTTTAAAATATTGGTATGAAAAGAGCCATTTTTCTTTCTTACACTTGCAAGTTTTGGACATGGCCACAAACAAACAAAGATGGCTAAAATGAGGCAGATCATGATTACGTCAAATGAAAAGTATGGGTAAGTCTGAACCAAGATGACATTTTTACCATGTTTCTTTTGTTCCTGATGCTGCGGGCCAAAATGGGCCCTTATCAACCTGAGGAAACATCGAATGGTAGATGACTAATTGTGCTCCAGACTAAACCCTACCCTCATTTGAACCAGACCCTAACAAGCCTAAGGAATTTGCTAGTGTCATGGAGAGATGATCATAGGTATTATAGTTACTCTAGAGGTTAACCCTACCCTCATTTGAACCTGGGAAACACAAAAAATACATTTCAAACATTTCTGAATTAATTATTATTGAAATACCATCAGTAAGTACATACAAATCAAGAGAAATAAAATATCCTTTAATGATACATGCAATGCACTGGATGCATTTCTTTGGGTGGGGTTAGAGAAAACATTGGTTTACAGGTTCTGTTCATCCTTTATTTATGAAATGTGAAAAATAAATGTGAAAAGTACTTTTTTATGTACCAACCACATACCATTATACATTTACGTTTAATACAAGTTAAACTAGACTTGACAAGCTGACCTAACACTACTCACATAGAAATATAATATAAAAAAATCAAATATGAAATGTATTTATTATTTTATTTTTTTCCTGCCAACCAACTAGGAATATTTATACTAAAAAATATTAAAAAGCCTTGCCTAATCAGTAAAAGGTGACATGGTGTATCATTCATCTGGATATTTACGGAATCATGACAAAATATACATTTGCATTGTACATGCACTGCAAATACTGCAAATATTTCGTTATTTTGAATTTAAAAGGGGTGGATGGCAAATCTGACAGCATGAACGTGTACTTCTTTAGATACAAATGTAGCATAAGGATCTGAACTGTTTCCATGTTATGATCCAGGATCTAAGTTTCCAGAGGCATCTCTGGACCCCGGGGTGAATTCTATTGGCATAAATGTATTATTCTCTTCATAACAAACAAATGTATACAATGTATCTGTTTATTTCATGTTGTATGTTGTGGTCAAGGTTCTAACTCCTTGTGAAGGGCCAGTCCTGGTAGCATATGTGTATTTGTCTTGTTATAGTAGAAGACGTTGTTTAAAGCAATAACGCCAAATTACCCCTATTTCACTCCCGCCCCTCAGCCCCTTTTGGGGGTCAGCCCCTCCATCTGTACAACTTTGAATCCTCACCACCGGAGAATGCTTCCAAACATATATGGTCAATATCTATCCTTAGTTCCAGAGAAAAAGTCGCTTAAAGTAATATAGCAAAAAATACCCCTATTTGGCCCCGCCCCTCAGCCCTTTGTTGGACGATGGATGGCACTGTATGGCATAAGCTCACCTTGGTCCTTCGGACCTGGTGAGTTAATAATATAATGCATGCGAAATGATAAGTCAAATGCAACCATATTGTAGTCTCACCAGCAGGGCACTTGATGTCTGGGGCCCATCCATTGCACTCGCCGTTAGTTGTCATGTTGGGGCAGGTCCAGCATGTGATCACTGCAGAGAAATAGTTCTGGTATCAGACAATCAAAAGCAAGTTTCATCAAATTGGTATTACAGAGCGAGTTTAGTATCATATTTATTACTCTTCGCTTAAAAGTTCATTGATTGAACTATGGGAATTCCTGTCAAATGTCAAAGGTCAAATGTATGAATAGAATATCTTACTATGGTGTGCAAATACCAAGACATCAACATGATCTACATCAAAATTTTAATTAAGATTAACAGAATACTTCAACCTAGAACACATTAAAAGTTGACATGTATAAATTCAATACCACACAAAGGCCTCCCTTTAGAATTCAGGACCACAAAGTTTACAAAACATGTCACAATACCCTATGATGTAATTTGTGAAGCTACACTAGCGAAACAAAGCCCTGTGACGTCAGCCTAGCAAAAGGGCTGCTGCTTATGGGATCATCGAGTGTGCAGAATCATCACTCCTCCCAGTGATCTATCATCTCCTGCACAATGTCTTTGATTAAGCCCAGCAATGTTTTCAATATTTGCTATTCCAGCAGTATATAACCATGCGCTTTGGTATTAAACAATGTGTAATTCAGCTGTTAGTTTATTTAACGGGTGATCTCTTCACAGATGAGTAATAAGTACATTTATTACACATTATCTATTAACATCACTTGCAGGACTATTTTTGGCATCAAGCACTGTTCAACTGTACTCTGCAACGTCTGCTGGAGTCTTGTGTTGGCACTTGCCTGTGAACTCGCAAACTAATGTTTGAAATAGGGTATACAGACTCTCACTTTTGCATTATTGTAGTGCAAGCATCGCGGCATTAAGTTAAAAGAATCATTTATAAACAAAGTATTATTTTGAAAGCATTCCTCGCTTGACCTTGAACTTTGTGTTGTATATGAGAGTGGCGACCCTTGGACCAATTTCGACAATAGTTAAAAATGTCGTCATGCCAACCGATACAATCTTGTGTTGTGAACCTTTCATGCTCTTTTGTGTACCGGTACTTGTTGCAATTACAACCAATATCTTTACATATATATATCTCCAAGCAAAACTCAAAAAAATAGCGAACGTGACATAACTCGACTCGCAAGCTCCACTCGCCTACACAGAACTGAGTTTGAAACTAGATTTTGTTGCATGCAAATATTTCTAACATTGTGATGTTTGTGTATACACATATAGTATTTTTTTGCGGGCTCTATATTATTGCGGTATTGGCAAATCTCGCAATGCACAGCCACTGTCGACTGTTTACTTATGCAAATCTAAGCACGATATTTCATCGCTTGATTGAATACAGGACTCGTTGACAGTCTTGCTTGACAAGGGTATAAGGATCTATACCAAAACATCGCTTTTTACAGTATTAAAGAAGTTGTTATCCATAAAATTGTGTCTACCTTGTCCGTCAACTTCTAAGTAATGCCTATCAATGTTTCTGGACTGTTTTTGAAGTGGAATACCCCCGACATCAATTCAAAATTGATTGCACAAAAACAACAACATTTGTTTAGACGAAGTCCCTTGACCCAAACTAGGTCGTATGCATACTGATTATGGACAATCCAAAACAAGAAGTGATGTAAACCACATAATCCACACATATCACACCACAAAATAGCCATATCGTGATAAAATAGAGTTGTCCACCCATTAGTTGCTAATGACAGGTACCCTGTTTACCAAACACAGTGAGGACAATCAGCATCGATCAATCCTAATTGATGTGTCACAAAAAAAGAAAAGAAACGTATGACACATTTAACAGGTTAGTAATTGTGCACCATTACGATCCATCATAAATTCACTACCATGATAATATAGTGTACCATCCCACATGCTATCATGAACATGGTGTTACTTCATTTCTTTCAAGAAAGCTGGGCACTTTGTTGCCAGGTAGCACCTTGAGAGAATCATCAGCTACGAATGTTGTATTTATATGCCACCGTGACACCAATAACGTCTTTTTTCTACATTGAATTTCGATAGTGTGCGAAGTCAAAGAGAGAAATAAATAAATTACTACACTCATCCTTGGTATCTAATGGGGACTTCTTTAGTAATGTATATATAAGCTACAGTCTACTGTAATCTACATCCATCAAGTACAATAACTAGAGTCTAATGCATGAGCCTGCTTGGGGTGTGAAGCACAATCACCTAGGGTGCAGTAACCAACCAATCACCATTCAAGTCACCTATTTTGACAAGTATGAGGCAGAAGGATCTATTCTGTCCAAATTTACCTACAAGGTACATATTTCTGTAACATGTCAACAGATACTTACAGTCTACTGTTATCTGTGTGTCAGCCTGCACAACCAGATCCTTAGAATACACCACCACACACATCACCACAACCATCCACTCTTGTAGACACGCCATACTGGCAGACAGCAAAGTATAGAAACAGTCACTCTGACATCAGGTATCACAAAAACCTGCTGGAGAAATATCTCTGTGGAAGTTCCTATGTGTAGTCTGTGATGCTGTGCTTGATGGAGCAGATGTGGAACAGCCTGTAGATGAGGTCCACAGATGGCAGACTGGGGTAGTGTGTGTCCTCCAGGTACACATTCACCTGTAGCACAGTAAACACAAAATCACTATGGTCATTCAAAATCAGCTATTTAGAGATATACACTTACATCATTTTACACAGTGAATCAGATATGTCAGTTTATGCTAACCAGCCAAGCAAGACAGCAATGACACTTCTGTAAATACTATTTAACAAAATGGGATCAAATCAAGGAAGTTAAAACCCTGTGTCTAACATGTCAGATACACCTAACATTGACTGGACCTTCCCAAATGATGCCAGCATGAGAGTCCACAATCAACTCCCTTAACAGCAGAGAGGGAAAGGCCGCTGCCGAGATATGATCCTTGGTCCAGTGACCATGTGATGACTCACAACTTCGCTGCTGCTCTGCCTTATCGATCAAACCAATCTAGAAAATACCCAATGATGCAGTGGTTACCAGGCTTCAGTGAGCTCAGTCTAGCATCAGTGCAAATTACACATCTAACTCTACCTCACATAATCACTGCAATAATTACATTCTTTCTTAACTAATGGTCCTCATCACTGCTATATAATTCTGACAGAACATATTTACAAAAGACAGCTCAATATAGGAGAAAAATCAATATTTTCAGGATGAAATGTGTGTAGGACTGAGGCAGCTATGGAATAAATGAATCACCCTGGGCACAAGGTACCAGGGCTTTCACTGTTACCACAGTGGGTTAACGGAACATTTACAAGTACCTAACTGCTCAAAGGAAACTATGAACTGTTAACATGCCCTGAAAGTTAATCCACTGGTAATTACTGCAGAAGATGTCTACATACCAATAAGTACAAACATAGAATTGGTGACTGGGATAGACTTCTGTTTAATGCACATGATTGTGGCTGCCTGACTCAATCACTCTTGACAGGTAGCTAGACAATGCTTGTATCAACAAAACATCTCATCATGTTCACCAAAACTGTCGGCATATATTTAACAAAAAGTAAATACTTTTACAAGGCCAAGTATTGCTATTGGCAACAGTGAACAGAGTAGCACTGTTACATCACTGCGTTGTACTTTCATCGCGTGGCATCACAGTACGTACACTATCATGTTAAGAATAAAATGTCACTATATGCTAGAAATTGAGGGAAATATGTAATGCACATTTTAACCATTGGTCCCCCAAATTAGCACATCATAAATAATATTATGATGATTTCTTACAGATGAATGTTTAGACTATATGCGGTTAACATATTCTAAAAAAGGTTAAACATTATTGATTATACTTATATTAGTAGTGGGACGATGCACCGATGCATCACAATTTTTCACTTCTCGATACAAGTATTGATCACAATCGCACACAAAGTAAAAAGAAGGAGGATTAGGGAGGGGGCCAAGAGACTTTGTACACTAAAGTTCACACCTGACAAACTTGTAATGAGTTTATTCATTGAGTGAAATAGAACCCTACTATCTAAGTGAAGGGCATCATGCGAACAAGCAATAAATCTATGCCCTTCATGCAAAAGCATCTGTCATGTGATCCACATGCTGTGCCGACACCTTCCCTGATACTTATTAACTTGGGCTGACGTCATGAAACTTGAAACATCTCCAACAACATTACATTGGATTTGAGGCAAAAATAAACTTCTTTTTCTTTTCTTTTTTTGTACAGGTTGCACATGGTTACATATACACTGTAGTTACAAAGATAATATAGATCTTTAACATGATGTTAGATGATAAATAGGTAGTGACACAATGACCAGAAATTACAATAAGTTAAACTGAGTGATTTATTTCCCTGGTGAATAACCTGTTGCCCTTTGATGTACCTGTGCATGTACCTTTGCATCAACATGACCTCTACACATGCACCCCACATTGAGGTACGTATATGCTGGGACTATACAGACCAATACTTTATCACTGATGGGGTATGAAAGTCATCACACTTGGATGGAAACACATTCACTGCATATCTGGATACAACACAATATATGTAAACTGCAATTTAGAGTGCATTACATTCATTTAGATTGCAGACAAATAATATTAAAAAAACAGGAGAGCCCACCTTAAATGTCACTGTGTCCAATCTCCAGTAAGTTTGGTATCACTCTAAGCTTTTCCCTCCCCATATAGGCAGTGAGAGTAGCACTGATTCCTCCCCATCCAATCAGGGTGGGGGACAGCACCCCTCCATTGTCCTTGAGCAGGAAGTACTTGCACAAATGTTTGACTTGTTAAAACAACAGTAGCATCAGACAGGATCATCAACAAGTATATGCTCATACACCTGGCAGCCATTCAGGACACAGCAGGGCATACAAATATTATAATGTAACACAATTAATGAAAAGATGAATAAACAATGTGTGAATTTCAATTGTAGCAACTGCTCAGAGTGGTTTCCTATGGTGTTGTCAAGGTTGCTATGATTGTATTGAATTTGAAGAAGTTACTTCTGTACAATACATTGTCATAAGTTATATAACCAAACCAAATATATTCTACTCAAAAGTCTGCTGAAACAAAACTTAATCAACAAAACTTGATATTCATATGGTATGTTAGGAACATACAGAATAAAGTTAAAGTGCACCTATGAATATATTAAAATGCCATGTAAGACAATTTATACAGGTGCCAACCTCAATTTGAAGCAACAAGGAATAGCTAGGTACTTGACATCTAAAATTAACCATTTGGGTTTAAAATAAATCATCTTTAGCATTATTTCTTATTACCCAAACCCTCAAAAACAGTAAATCTTCCCATCTGGGATAAAACAAGTGATTACTACTTGATTGTTACATTGGCTGCATATGTGACAATGACTGCATAACGAAATCAGTATCCAGTTCAAATTACAAGTGATGTTTTGTTGGATAAAATTTTTGCAATAGTAATCACTGCATGGTCTGGTCAAATTTGATTTAAAATATTGTTATGATTCAATTTGACAAAATTGTAATGGCTGGAATCTCTGAATTAAAAGTGTGGAGCAAGGAAAGGCATGAACCAGAAAGTAGTGAGATGAAGAAGATACTGTAAACCTGTTATATCAGGCAAATATTCGTAGACATATGTATTTTGAAAGAATGATCTTGACTCCAAACAAGCCAACCAGAGAGTTGCTAATCCATAATGGTGCTAACCACTATAGTCAGTCCTCTGCCTCTTGAAATAGAACCACGAAATATTGCGATGATTAATTAACGAAGATAGCTAAATGTGTGCTAAACTTATAAAGTGAAAATAATCCATTCCAGTGATAAGGAATATTACTTACAGTAAAAACAAAAATTACAAAGTTAGCTATTCAAGAAATGTCCATTTTGCTAGTGATAAACATCATCAAGTTTTACAATCTGACAGAGAATTGGCATTCAGGTGACTCCGTCGAGAAGTGATTCGGCAGAGATGCAGCAGTCGTCCAATGAAATTAGTTACACTGCTGCTGATCACAAGTGACAATTGCAGAAGAGTTGCTTCCCTTCCAAAGTGAAATTGATTGATATTTTAGTGTCGTCAGTGATTTCAAGAATAGAGTGTGAGTTATGTTTAACGCTGCTTTTAACAGTATTCCAGTTATATCACGGCGTGTCAGCTTAGTGTGGGAGGAAAGCCCGAAGTGATGCAGGTCTTAGACGTTTACCACTTTGGTGAAACCCACGAGCATGGGTATGGTGCTAACCGGGGTTCGAACCCACAATCATAGGTTTCTGGTATGCCTTAGGGACGCAACACTGCACAGCAAATTGCAATGCCTTTGACAACTGGGCCACCCGTATATTTAAAGAATAGAAATTCCAGAAGTTATAATGATAACACATAGCAAAACCCTTCAAAATGTTTTAGTGAAGGAGGTGGACAAATTAGCTGATGACAGACTGCACTGGTTGAGCAGGCAGTTCTCTTTGTTTGACCCTAATTACTTCCAATCACAACCAGCAGAGTGCATCATAAACACTGTCTATACCTATCTAAGGGCACCAGCCTAACCCAATTACAGGCAATTGCTCAGGTAAATATGTGCTATTGTAGCGTGCTCTGAATGGGATAGGTCTTGTTAGTAGATGAAAGTGCTGTATAAACACACCATCTGCGGTGATAAGATACATGGTGGCTGGAAAACAGTCTTGAGAAACACTGAGCACACACATTACCTACATGTCACAATAAGCACCACTTAACATCAAAGCAAGGGGAAGAGCTGGAAGTATGTGTCACAGTAACATACCATTCCAGCATAAACACAAGTATTCCCTGCTTCTGTTCAGACCCAACACACCATTCAGTAGCACATAAAGGTTGAAGGTGCATCCCACCTACTGACATAGTAACTCATATGCAGATATGTTTCTCATGTTCAAAGGCCTAATGATGGTTGTGACAAACATTGATAGACATTTAAGGTTCTTCAGTTGCTCGGTATGGCCTTTCTGAACCTTAGGAAGCCTGTTTTCAAATGGGAAGTAATTTTGTTGTTGCTAAATACAACAAATTCAGCCTTTTCAATAAAACATCACTATAAAAAATTGTGTTTTGCTAAGAAAACTAGCAATTGGCAATTCAAACAAGACAAGAGCACAAAGTCATTGATATCCCCTGTAATGGCAAATACTTGTCATGGATAAATATATGAAACTTCCCAAACTATCAAAAGGCACCAGTTCACCACTAGACCTATCTATATGATGCATGGTGTTGAAATATTGAACGGTTTTCAATCTCTGGAAACAAGCACTACAGCCAGTTTCAGTCTAAATCAAAGTTGTTGCAATGGGAACTTGAAAATTTTATTTTTTTTAAATCACAAACTATTACACGGCACCAGTTCACCACTAGACCTTTCAATGTGCCATGTTTGGTGATGAAATCTGGTAAGTGTTTTCAACACCTGCTTCGGAAACAACATCTTGCACAGATTGACAGACATTTCCATTTTAATATCCCCTGCAAAACACATTGTGGGGTATAAAAATGATCAAGTTATGGTGGGGTTTAAGAACTCACTTTGGTACTTCACAAATGGATGTCAATGCTGGTTCTTAATTGACATTTTCAATTATGAAAGGTCTACAATTACCACAGGTGTTAAAGTGTTGTGTTACCCTCTCACTTCACAATACCTTGCAATACAGGTTCATTGAGAACTGGGCAGCATATCAATCTCATTAAAATCAGACCTTAGTTCTCGCTACCGCTAAACAAAGATCTGAAGACATCCCATTAGGGGTCACGTCAGAACGACCTTTCATCCGACCAATCAGAGCGCCGCTTACCAGATTATGAAAGTGACAGTCGGAATGTGATTTCTAATCATGCAACCTCGAAAACTTTATTCCGAACGATAGTTACGGGTTTAACAACTGAATCCTTACAATCTAGCCCATTTATTAGCCATTCCAGAATTTTCTTTTGTTCGGGTTTTATATTTGTAATCGAGAATTTGTCAAAATATGTTTCGAAGCGTAGTCGCCAGTTTGAAATTAGTGCCTTAAAGCTCGAGAAAGCTGCCTTCTGATTGGTCATCCCATTGGTCGGTCAAAGTTCGTGCAAGGTCGGTCTGACGTGACCTGTAATGGGATGTCCTCAGATCTTTGTTTAGCGGTAGTAAGAACTAAGATCTGATTTTAATGAGATTGGGCAGCATATAGTTGTGACTACCATGACTGAACTACACAAATGTCAAGTGCACTGGCTGATGGAAAGAAGATATAAGTATTATCATTTAACCATAGTTTTATTCTATGAATCTGGATCAGTAAACAAGCTAAGAAGACTTCTGTTAAAATAGCTCTCCAGTACAAGTTATATTCATGAAGGCATTATACAAAACAATACATGATGATTAACTAAAGCTCAGTTCGCATGCACAACCTTTACTCACGTACGCAAAACTGCACGTGTATTTTGGCACACGTGAGTAAAAGCAAAATTACACATGTATTTTGGCACTCATGAGTAAAAGCAAAATTACACGTGTATTTTGGCACACGTGAGTAAAAGCAAAATTACACGTGTATTTTGGCACTCATGAGTAAAAGCAAAATTACACGTGTATTTTGGCACACGTGCGTAAAAGCAAAATTACACGTGTATTTTGGCACACGTGAGTAAAAGCAAAATTACACGTGTATTTTGGCACTCATGAGTAAAAGCAAAATTACACATGTATTTTGGCACACATGAGTAAAAGCAAAATTACACATGTATTTTGGCACTCATGAGTAAAAGCAAAATTTCACATGTATTTCGGCACACGTGAGTAAAAGCAAAATTACACGTGAACTTTGGCACTCATGAGTAAAAGCAAAATTACACATGTATTTTGGCACTCATGAGTAAAAGCAAAATTACACGTGTACTTTGGCACACGTGAGTAAAAGCAAAATTACACGTGTACTTTGGCACTCATGAGTAAAAGCAAAATTACACATGTACTTTGGCACTCATGAGTAAAAGCAAAATTACACGTGTACTTTGGCACTCATGAGTAAAAGCAAAATTACACATGTATTTTGGCACACGTGAGTAAAAGCAAAATTACACGTGTACTTTGGCACTCATGAGTAAAAGCAAAATTACACATGTATTTTGGCACTCATGAGTAAAAGCAAAATTACACGTGTATTTTGGCACACGTGAGTAAAAGCAAAATTACACGTGTATTTTGGCACACGTGAGTAAAAGCAAAACTACTATGTGTTCGCAAAGTTTTAGTCAAGTGTTGTATATTGAGGGTAGTAAATGCAAAAGCATCATATGATGGCAAGTATTCAACATGGAAAGACTAATTTCACATCACAGAAGATAAAGGAGACAATTTCCTTGTCAGCATGGTTTGACAACAATAATATAAATGGTCTTACCTAAAGACAAATCTGTATGGAAGATTGACAGAGATACGGCTTGGTAGGAAGGTATGCACCATAATGATATTGACAATGAATGGTATGCTAATTTGCGTATGCACAAGTCTGTGAGAAGGTCAAGGATCACCAGAA